GATGGTGGTTGCTTGACGAGGGCAGACAACGGAAGAGATGGTAAGGGATTAACAGCGAGATCGTAGGGTTCAATTCATAGAGATTAGATTTGGAAACGTTGCTGACGATTATGTTCGGATATTGGTTGTTTGTGACAATGTAAATGAAGCATTTTTTGCATTGCTTATGACTGGTTTGGATGGATGAATGAACACCTTTCGATTGCACACAACATCATAATTTTGATCATCCATTGATGGCACCTACGTCGTAATATATTCCCTCATCGAATCCATCAGACTGTTTATGAATATTTTTTAACTTTAACCTGAATGCTTAAGTTGTCGATGCTTTATCAGGAACCAAGTTGTTCTTTTTTTNTTTTTTTCATTTTAATGGACAGGACGGATTCTGCGCTCTTCAAGAAAGAGGATGCATGTCCCAGGTGAGGATCACTAGCTTGCATAGATAAAGCAAATATCTGTAAACATTGGAGTGTGAAGAACACCATATTCATGCCAAATATATGCTCAATTTTGCTTAGAACGGCCCTGATTTTCGCACGTTCGGACCAAGCAGTTCATCAGCTATAAAAGAGTTATCTGTGTTCTTGTTTTTCAAAAGTTCCAGCGATACTGCTCGATCTCTAAACATCGCTATTTCACTGAGTGGTTTCATTTTGTCATCAAATCGCATAAATTGGATTTCTGTGTTGATAAATAATGCACTTCCGTGTAAATTGTGATAGGAATATTAGCACTATCAGTTTCAACCTTTCGGGTTGACATCAGCTAGAGCAGGCTGTTTTCCAGCCGAAGAATATGTAGGTCCTTAATGGAAATTTCTTATTTCAAGAGATGTAGGTTTATTTGTAACGAGTACCGTGCTGAATCTGACAGTGATCTCGGACGTGATCAGCAACCTGAGGAATTCTTGACAAGTGTGAAATTAGTGGCTGTGCAAAAATCATTTGCTTTGAATGGTAATCATTGGAATCTGTCGCAAGCCATATCCTGCCAAATAAATATTTACATCGAATTGTTCATATGTGATTCTTGGTCGGTTTATTGATCACCATAATGTTCGTTGACAATAAATTACATTGACTGCTATCAATAAGGATACGACGCCCAGACATTAAAATGCGAATATATTAAATGTTGTTCGGATTAAAAATTTAATCTAATCAACTAACAGTGAATTAATGATTTGGTGTTACTGGTGCAAGGTGTTTGTGGTGTGTTACTGTTCTGGTGTCTTTTAGTGTATTAGTGTTTTGGTTTATTACTGTTGCTGTTTTGGCATATGATCGAAATTTTTTCAAAATTAAATTTCGTTTGAGGGTTGCGATCTCAGTCAGAATTGTTCCATGANGGGATTTTCGGGGATACCGTCTCCTTTCCCGACGTTTTTCGAGCCGACCGTATCTTTGAATGTTTTAATTTTTGTATCATTAAATTTTTTTGAAGACCGTAATTTTCATGTTTTTCATTGTCGAGATCCTCTCGCTTCTGATGGCGTGCGTTCGGCTTTTTCGAAATGTTTATCGTTGATACAGGCCAATATTTATTCAGTTTACGTTTTATATTATCGCAATTTTACTTTTTTTAGTGTATCAGTCCTTGTCAAAGAAGTTTTGTAGTTACATTATTAATTTTTTCGTGTTTGAATAAAATACGTGTTTGAATAAAGTACTGTTCATAAAACTGTATTGCGGCTTCACAGTTATCTCTGTTCTAACCTAAAGATAGCTTATTTAAGTGCTTTTCCACCAAAAAATCCTGTTTTCAAAGTCCTGCTAACTCAAGTTCAAGAGTTCCATTTTCGGGGAAATTCAGAGATCGGTGACGGGGACGAGATCATAATATGCAATTATAGAAATATGAAATATATGCAATTTTATGGAAGTTCAGAGGTATGCATCGTAATTATGTGGGTTCAATTCCATGTAATATTGCAAAAATAGTGCAATTATCTGTGGAACTTGTTTAGATTAATAGATTACTTTATAACAAGTCGGTTTTACAAATTTTCGATTTTCGACTGCCGCAGTAATCAATCGAACTTCATAACGTAACCGTATCGTCTTTGTGTGATCAAAACGATATTGACAGGGAATCTGAAGTGGAACAATTAATCAGTAGAATTTTTGAGTTACCGCCAATTCTTTTCGGATGGTTTTTAGTTATTTGTATACGCAATTGACTGTTATCACCTACGTTCTGATGTATTTTGTGTTATGTGACGCATATTTTAAAATATTGTTCCAGATATACGGATGTATGCTTGAGAGGGGCGATAAGACTGCGGCGTGCAAGTGTATTGCAAGCAATTCTGAAAACTTGATATATGTCTATCAATTGATTTGAATTTTACTCGACTGTCAAAAAGGTAAAAGAAAGTTTTGTCCATTTTTTCTACAATGAATTCAAAGAATGCCGAAGGCACATTTTGCGAGGAAAACTATTGGCTTTTTTGAATCAAAAGAGATTCTGTCTTTGACAAGGCTTTAAATGCGAACCATTTAATACCTGACTAGTTTTGATTGAACACCAAAAGTCAATGGAGGCATGGGGAATTGAACCCCAGACCTCTCCGATGCGAACGGAGCGCTCTACCCCTGAGCTATGCCCCCTCGACAAGCATGCAAATAGTGCACAACCGTGAACACACGACTGTGGTACTGCTAACATTCAAAGTTATGATCTGAAAATGGAATCAGATCTCTGAGATCAATAATGCAACCGAGCACAGTAATGAAGCCTTAAATCCAGTCTCGTTGTTTCGAACGTTATCCATATTGAATATTAACTGAACGCATCTCCACGATGATAAAATTGTTGAACTGTTAATTTTTTGATAAACTGTCAATTTTTTCCTATCATCAGATAACTCACTGTGCTTCAATTTCTTTCAAAGTATCCGTTGAATCGAAATTTTTATGCAAACGAAACTTCCAACACATTGTCGATTTGGTTTGGTTTCGATGCATTCGCCTTTATTGAATCACATCGTTTCTCAAAAGCTATATCAGCAACAAATATTAGATAATGTGCTGATCTCGCATACCTTTTGTCACAGTTCTACAACAATTAAACAATCAAATTGTTGTTGCTGGTGTTGTTGAGAAACTGATTCATCAGATGCATTGTAATCGAAGCTTTTGCTTTTGAAGATATCATTCAAATAAAATATGAATGATTGAATATTATTCAATTGAAATTTCGTCCGTTTATAAAAGATTCCAATGGAAGCATGGAATCATTGTTATATCCGTATTTCTTCTTACTGAGAAGCTCTTTTCCGACCGGCTGAACAGAACAGTTTGATCAACAGTAATATTTTTGCTCATATGAAAACAATATTTTCGACTAGAGTGCTGGTTGGCCTTACAGATTAGTGCTAGAAAAATGGCAACACTTATTAAGTTCTTCACTTTCTCACAAACTCAGCCAGATTGAATGATCGAAATTTTCCACATGCATATATCACCAAATGATTCTGTCACAATTTTCTTCAATTATCATAATCACATAAAGAAGAATTCGCCCTCTTTAACTGCATGATATATATCACCGTCGCCAATATTTACAAATAATGATGTCATTTCCTGAATAATATGAATGAACAAACACATTCAGTACAATGAATGTTTGCAATACTCTAAAATTTATGACAGCAAAACTGCCTTGAAAAGGAATTCTAGGTAATAAAAGTATTTCTTCATTCACTTTGAGACGTCTTTATTATTCATCCTTAAAAGCGTTCAGGAACATTAAATAGCAATTCAGTTCCGTTCTATTGGTTTAATCATTTTGATTTTATTGCTTAGAATATTATTGCAATATTGTCACCGTTAAGTCATTGTAAAAATGCAATCTTGTCATTATTGTTGCCATTATTACTATTATTATTATTATGATTAAGATTATCACTATTATGTTGCTGATATATTATTCATTAATATCATTCGGTATTTGTTCACCGAGATAAGATGCAAACAGATATTTTGAGTATAACCACATTTTGAAATGCTTTTGATTCGAAGAGTATTATATCGCTCTTAGGAATGCAAAACCTCGCTCTATTTTTGATCGCTTACAATATTATTACTTTCGGAACAGTCTTATTACTTTTTCGCAATGTATTCATTCAGCTGTTCTATTCATGAGACTATTCAATGACGCATGAGTCCAATAAACAATCGTCGTAGTTATGAACGATATTCATTCAAAATATAATATAAATGTAATCTTATCATCGTTTTGATTTCATTTAGTGAAATCACTTTCGTACTCCAGAACACGTCTAACTTCTATGTATTGTATTGTGTTTTTTGGTGTTTGCTGAATATATGTAGGAGGTGGTATATGAATAATAGCTGATCAATATCTGCATAAATTAGTGAACATTACAATTGCTATTGTTGTATGGGTAACCGTTCGTTTAGTTTAGTAGTTCTCCACCTAACAGAATCAAACGTTGAAGTGCTTTTCTTTGAATGAATCGCAAGTTTGAATGTCCATAAAACTAATTCTCCTATATTTTGCACATTACTCTTTTAAATAATATCTCTCAATTATGGATCATACCTATTAAGTGCACAAATGTCATTTCGTTGTATCGTTCTCTGCTGACAAGTGCCCGTCGATGATCGAACACTATTACTGATCACTTACTCTTGAGCCAAAACTAGATCACTTTTGAAGTAGAATTGGATTTGTCCAGTATAATGCAATAGTAAAAAAAGTTTGATTTGGAGCACTAAAAACTGAAAACAAATTCCATTAATTTTTAGGTTATACCTCTAGCAATCTAAAAGCGCGATATACCTCTCAAATGTGATGTAGTTTCATTCTAAAATTGTTTCACATTTCATAGACATCACTGCTTTCAGGCGTTCAGGTGTGTGAACGATTTGATTTTGTTAACGGTATAGCTGACTGTCTTCAAAAGTGCAGTCAAATTCATCATTCATATTTTCACTTGGTGTTACCTTCTTACTCGTAGCAGTAATAAAATGTTCAATAATCGACACAAATTTATCCTGGTTTTGCAATTCGCTGCTGTTTTTTCGTGTGCAAGTATGTCAGTGATTTTCATTTTTGTTACCTTATCAACTGCAATATGATTCGGATGCTTACTTTATGACATACTTCCTTTTATATTTTTTGATGAAGGAAAACTGAATAAGAAAATCGTTTGATTCCTGTTAGATTTCTTAGATTGATCTTGTTGCTTTCTTTCAGCCCTTCCACTATTGCAAACCTACGGTGGCCATACTTTTGTGCTGCATAAAATGACCGAATGCAAGGGCGGTAAAGTCTACGAAATTAGAAATGTTCAGGTTTGTTCTTGAGACACCTTCTAGTTTGATTATCGTCGAAGCATGAGGATTTGCGTTAACAACATTAGCATGCCCTTGGATTTCAAGTAGATTCCTGCGAGAAGTTCCGAATCAAACCCTGCAAGTGACATATTGTCATGATGCAGTCAACGATTCCACATATGTCAAATTATAGCTGTAGGGAAATTTTGATGTCGATGATTTGTGCTTATGAAAACAACAAGTTTGCGTTGCAGGACTATGACCAGTGTAGAGCAGCGTGTATGCAGTTCAACTGTGCCGCAGTCAACGTTTTTCAGTTAGGCGAATTCGAGTTCGTTTGCGAAATTCTTGAAGATGTCGAGGGAATGGTTCCCGCACAAGGAGCTGCTTGTTATGCACCATTCTAAGTGCTAATTCTCAGTGATAAAAGTGCCTTTAATCCATTGCCATTATTATTCACTTCTAAACATCTGAATAGCTTCTTAATTTCATGATGTTCGTTTAATAATTAATAATCGAATAAAAATTTCGTGCAGTGATCATAGCGAATGACTCCGTTCATTTCTGAAGCTATGAATTTAAAACGGAATCGTATTTAGTACAGTATTTATCTTTTAGATATATTATGATATAGCCTCAAATCCTGGGCGTTTGCAGTAAGTATATTCTAATGTCATTTGATTAGCATTTTCATCAGATTCATTATTGTACTCAACTAATGTAAATGTTTGTGCAATTTCTGTCTTTCTTCCTCGATGAGTGTATTTAGCTTTAATGATAAAGTTATCACTTTCATTTGAAATTTCTTTGCATATGAAATCTTATCATCGATTTTGCCGATTAATTTGATGATAACAAAACTACGAAAACGTTCATCTCATGAGTTTATCTAAAACAAGACCAATTACTCGATCAATACTATCAATTTTGTTGCTCATGAGAAAGGTTTTGTGTTGCTGACTTCTAAATGAAATATTTATTCTTGCGTTATTTCAAT